GATTTTTAAGTGAAAGCTTAATAAAATATTCTTGGAGCTCCGGAAGGCCCACAGAGCCTGGCCAGTCGCCCCCCATCACGGGGCCTGGTCCCACTGGGAAGCTACCGCCTCCGGCCGCCGAGGGCAGTTCCTCTGGCCAGGAGCCGGGTTCTGAGTTCTGCCCGCAGGTGGCTTTCCTTGGCTCCTTGTACTTGTTGCTGGGCTCTTGGGAACATACCTGTAGCACCAGCCTTCGAGCCCAAGAGAGAAGTTCACTCTGTGTCCAGAGACAGGCTCCTTCAAAGTGCTTCCCTTGTGAGATGGGTGCTCCTCTGGTGGCTCCTGGACAAAGGGATCAATCATCTCGTTTCATCCTTTTCCAATTTTTGTTCTTTTAAAAGTCTCTCGAGGACCTTTTGCGTCTGTGGGGAAGTTATCCTAGAGGCAGGAGAGCAGCAGGCTCGGGCGGGCAGCCCCAGATCCATGCCCTTGTGAGAGAACGGCGAGCCTGATGTGTAGGATCTGGGTACAGGTTTAATACCAGGGTCGGTTTATACCTGTTAACTTAGGTTAAGCTCCAAATTCAGGAAAGGAAGAGACAACACTGCCATCTAGTGGCAAATGGGGTGGACAGCGCACACAATGACAGCTGACTCGGATCCAGTTGTTCTGGTCAGAACCATTTTTAGCATCAGAATGAGTCTCTGACCCCATGTGACAGTGGCCCGAGGCAGCAAGGGGTTTGCAGGCTCCTTTCTCTCCAGCCAGGGCACCGTCACCACCCAAGGAGCCAGCTGCTGCATGCAGGCACCATGCTACACTCCACCTGCCTATCTCAAGTCCCCTCAGTCCCAGGAGGGAGCCAGTGACATCAGCATTCTGCATAGGGAGCTGACGTGGGTGCAGACCTGTGTTCACAGTCAGGCGGGCGGCCCACTTCACGGGGCGGGGGGTTGGGGGGGACACTGTCTAGTTTGAGAGGTGTAAGTGGGACTGCAGAGAAGTGTGGTTTTCTAATTCCCTTTGTGTGTGTTTGAAGGGAACTTCCCCGATAGGCTTGGTCACACAGCAGTTCTGTAAGAGCAGGGCTCCTCCCCTGCAGCTTTGCCTGGGCTGCCTGGTTGGGAGGCAGGTCAGTGTGGTGGAAAAGCATGCTCTGGCGCTGGTCCGCCCTCCCCAGCTGCTCGGTCCTCTCTGAGCCTGTTTCCTCATCTGCCAGCGAGAAACACTCCCTCAGGCTTCAGTGTGGAGAATATCTGGCCCAGAGCAGATACTGTTTCGTTCTCCTTTGCTGGATGACTAAGTATTAACTATTTGGTAAATGCAAATGTAATTCAGAAAAAAAGAGAAAAAACCAAAAGTGCAAGAGACCTGGGGTTCACTTCTACAGATTTTGCTAAATTGAAAATCATGCAGAACTTTCTGCAATGAGGAGAAACCACTGGGCTGCTTTTGTTTCTAAGAATAGATAAAAATGGATTTGATATTCCAATGAGTGTCTTAGAATCCAATTAGAAATCAGAAAGAGATGTTTGCTCCATTTAAGTCTTAAGTGCACCTTATGCTTAATTTCAAACAAAGCCCAGAATAAGCTGATGCAAAATGTTAAAGAGATACCAACTCCTTTTAAGCCACATACTGAACAAGAAGTGGCCCCTTTTCGCAGGAGTGTTATGCCCTCAGGGGACCAAGGGAGGGCAGAGCAACACCATCCTTAGTTGCTATACATCTGGATCCAGGGAGGATCCAGCTCTGGGAGAGGAAGGAAGAGATGGAGGAAAGGGGGAGGCAGGCATCAGAGTGACTCCAGCCCACCAGGCAGAGCTGGTTGGGGGCTGCTGGACAAGGTAGCAGCTGGGAGAGCTTGGGCCATGCTGCTTAGTTGGGTCCCCAACTGGAATTGGGGTGCTGTTTAGTTACCAGGGGTGCTGAGAACAAAGTAGAAATTCCTGGGAACAAATTACTCCACTTAGTCACGTTTTAGAAACTGTGAAGAAAAGCCAGAAAACAGCCAACTGACTAATACGGGGATGACAGATCCTACATAAAGCAAGTGCAACAGTCAAAGTCCAGAGGTCTGGCTCGTGTGGCTCAGTGGTTGAGTGTCGACCTATGAACAAGGTCAGGGTTTGATTCCCAGTCAGGGCTCACGCCCAGGTTGCAGGCTTGATTCCCAGGAGGGGGCGAGCAGGAGGCAGCCAATCAATGATTCTCTCATTGATTCTCTCTCCCCCTGGCCCTTCCTCTCTCTGAAGTCAATTAAAATATATATTAAAAAAAAAAAAGTCCAGCCCTAACCGGTTTGGCTCAGTGGTGAGAGCGTCGGCCTGCAGACTGAAGGGTCTCAGGTTCGATGCCGGTCAAGGGCATGTACCTTGTTTGCGGGCACATCCCCAGTAGGGAGTGTGCAGGAGGCAGCTGATCGATGTCTCTCTCTCATCGATGTTTCTAACTCTCTATCCCTCTCCCTTCCTCTCTGTAAAAATCAATAAAATATATATATTTTTTAAAAGCCCAAATGTCTGAACATTTGTAATAAGGACAGTAACTGCTCTTATATAAAGCATTCAAGTGCACAGTTACTGTCCTTACTACTATGCTTTATATATGTCGTTTTCCTTGACCCTCTCAGTAGGCCCTGAGGTAGGTGGTGTGGTTACACACATTTATAGACAGGAAACTGAGGCAAACAAGAGCAGGTGGCTTGCCCCAGGCTACCCAGCTGGGGAGTGGTGGGGCTGGAATTTGACCTGGGCACTGGCTGGAGCCAAAGCTGGTAGATTCAACCATTATGCCATGCTTCGTCTTCCAGAACAAAAGGGGACCCATGAACAAGTCAGAGCAGGTTGGCCCCGAGTCCATTAGCACCCCTTGAACCAGAATTATTCCGAATTCTGGCAGAGCCCACAACTGGGGTCTGTCTGAATTACAGACACCAAGGCAGTGAGAGATGAGGATCCCGGTGGTGGTGGGGGAGACATCGAGGAGGAACAGGCTCTGTGGCATGGTAGTGGAATATGGCTTCAACCTTGAACCTGGGAAGCTATGGAAACCACAATGACAATTTATTGAGCACCTGTGACACTGTGGGGCATTTTTCAGAGGACTGTGGTCAGAGGGATTGCTAGGGTCCACTAAGTGTAATGGGATGGAAACCAGGCCTTGGAGACAGCGCCTACACCCAGAGCTACTGGGTTGCCTTGTGATGATGTCACCTGGGCAAGGGGCAGGGCTCTCCTGGAGGATGTGACTTCCCAATGCTAATATCGGCTGAGTAACCAAGCCTGGCCACTGATACTGCCTCCTGCTCTGCTGTGATCATTGTGCAAAGAACAACGTATGTACAACTGGGCAGTCTAATCATCCCTCAGAGGAAGTGGGAGCCAGGCCTTCTGCTTCTAGGGGCTGTAGGGTAAGTGTGAGAAGCAAGCAATGAGGGGTTTCCTGCGACAGTCATGAGGTGGGGAATTCTGGCTCAGTGCATCGTAAGCTCTTTCCTTCAGTGATTTGGACTGAGGCACGGGGAAGGAGGACCCATCCCCCTCAGTCCGTTCAAGCTGCTATGAAATACCACTGCGTGGCTTATAAGTAGCAGAAATTTCGTGCTTACAGCTCTGAAGGCTGCAGCATGGTCGGGTGAGGGCCTCTCCTGGATGGTGGAACGGGTGAGGGAGCTCTTGGGGTCTCTTTTATAAGGGCACTAATCCCATTCATAAGGAGTCCATCCTTATGACCTAATCACCTCCCAAAGGTCCTACCCATTAACACTATCACCTCTGGGGGTTAGAATTTCCGCATGTAAATTTTTTTGGGGGGCGGGGCACAAATATGTAGACCATAGCACCATCCACATCCACTCACCTTCTCTATGGCACGCCTGCTGCAGAGAAGCTGTTGATCTTGGAGCCTGGGGGTAACTAAGAGGGGTGGAAACTCTGGTGCAGCAGTGGTTACAGACACTCGAAGGGCATGGGGCACTGGCAGACCCCATCACCATCATGAGGAATTCCGTCTTTAAAAGGGGGCCCAACGGGATGCCAGGATGGCTGACCAGGATTCTGCCAGTAACACTAGAGCCTAAGGGCTTTCAGGATTAGCTCAAAGCAACGCAAAGAAGCATGAGACAGTTTTGACCAGGATTCAGAAAAGCAAAAGTTCTCGCAGAGACCACTGCTATGCGGACTATCACATGCAGAACATGACAGGGAAGGACAGGGGACAGCTGTGGAAGATGAGAGCAAGGAAGGCAAGGTGACCTCTCTGCCGGAGGACAGCAAACAGTGCCAACAGACATGCAGACACACACACCTGCCCTCCATCCTGTAACCATGGTATCATTTCTCTCTACATCTCGGATGAAGGCCACACACTAGGGCCTCTTCATGCAGCCCCCAAACATGCCAACGGGCTGGCTGGGGACCAAAGGTGCAGCTGACATTTCAGAGCTGATTCTAGCTTGTAAGGTCTCAGATCTCAAAGACAACCACCACGTGATCTTAAATGTGTTTAATGCTTTGCAGAACAAACATGTTCTTTACTATTAAGTTCATTATGAACTTGAATCACTAAAAATTGTAAAGTCCATAACTGATTTGAAGCCCTAAGCAACACCACCTTTGGTGTTCAGTGATTTAACTTAGTAAACTCTGTGCAAAGTCATGAACCTTTCCATACATTTGCAATCTCCAAAATATAACTAGTAAGTTGCAGCATAGCCCTCTATTCCTTTGCCAAGAGTGGAGAGCGATGGCTCAAGTCACCATGGCTGAATTATGTTCTAGGCTTGGAGAAAAATCTGCTCTCACCGGGGCCATGTGCCTGCATCCTCGGGAGGCTGACCGATCCACCTGGGATGACAGCCGGCAGAGGCTCCAAAGCTTCTGAAGCCACAGGTGCCACAGCACCGACCCTGGGCAGGGAGCCAGGCCAAAGGCAACAAGAGAATCTTTGGGAGAAAGCACTGCATCCCCGTCCAGTCTGTGTCCACCTGTACCCGCCACCGTCTCAGTCAGGGCCCGTACCTTTCCTTGCATCATGGAAGTTAGGGCCCGGCCTGCCAGTGTCACCCTGCTGTGGGCAAGAGAACACAGTGTCACTTTGCTTTACTAAAAGAGTTCCCTTTTGATACATCACCACCACCACCATCCGACCCCCCCAGAAAATTATCCTTTTCCAAGCCGGGACGTCACGTCTGCTTCACGCAAGGTTTACAGTTTGCTGTTCTTCTGGAACTGGGCCACCAGGTTGAGGACCTGCTCAGAAGCCTTGATGTTCTTTGAGCCGAGGTAGGAGGTGCTGTTGGTGGCCGTCTCCTCCAGGTAGTACCGGTAGTTGACCATCATGCCACACGAGCCAGTGATGCCCTTGAAGCTCAGGTCTGCCATCCAGTTGATGCGCCACATCACAGCCCCGTTCTGCAGGTGGAAGTTTGCCACGGGGTTCAGGGCGTAGCCCCGGTGTTTCTCTCCATACAGGTACCAGGCACAGAGCCTCATCAAGGGGGCCTGGAGCACCTTGGCCAGCTTCTCGGACTTCACCCACTCGTTACTGCTGAGAAGGGCCTTGAGGGTCTCATTAAGGGGACACCCTGTGACCGCAGAAATTTCTTTATACTCAGAATCTGTAAATAACTCACTCCTCCCATGATCCTTTGCTTGTGAGTTCAGAAGCCCCAGGAGCCATTTGGTGAAGCCAGGGATAGGAGACAGACTTGAAAATGTCCCAAGGTGAGGAAACTCTTTCTGTAAGGCATGTAGGGTGGGGAAAGGAGGTGGAGAGAACACACACACAAAGAGAATTGAGCAAGGGTGTCACTGACCCAGAAGTACCTGTCCATTTATCATTTATGTACCATTAGCCTGGGTATGCTGTGTGGCTTACAAAGTGACGTTTGATATGCACTGACTTTCTTCTTTCAAAGAACATCATGCATCTGACGTGGGCCAGGCCCTGGAGGCATCCTCAGCCCCCAGGCAAGCCTTTAGGTGGTGTCTCCATCTGCACCATTGAGAGGATGGCAAGTCGGGGAACGGCAGGAAATCAGAGCCATGCTGTGAAGTGGGGCCTGGTGTGCAGTCTTCTGACTGTAGAGTGTGTCTCTCTGGCATACATTCTCCACCCATAGACATCTGTGCAGCCACACAATCTGGTTTGGTGCTTGGCACATAGTACCTAGTGACTGTTCGTTGAATAAGTAACTGATTTCCGAGCTATACCAGAGTGGGTGCAGGATGGGATAGAAGGGGAGGCAACGGGTCTTTTTCCACATCAGCCGATACAGGTCAATCATTATTATTCAAATTACAGAGATCTCAATGATCATTTTTAAAAATCCAGTATTTTTGGTTTATAAATGTAATATATATGCTCACTATAGAAAATTTTTTAAAGATTTCTGACAGAAGCTAAGGAAACTATAACACTCCTCTACTCTGAGATAACTACTCTCAATAGTTTGATAAAGTATAACTCCTGGTCTTTCTCTAGGCAATTTTTACATGGGTGAGACTGTTACTTTATATCCTGCTTTATGAACCTATATCATGACCATTTTCTCATTATCATTACAATTCAAAAACAATTTAAACAACAGAATATCCAAACATGAGACTATCGCATTACTTTCCTAACCACGCTGTCACCGGGCATTTAAGTGGCTCTTAGTGTTTGCTGGTGTAGCCCTGACGAGCACTCCTGTGCAGGAGGGGATACGCTTCCTTGAGATCCTCTCTGATGACTCTCCGGCGCAGAGCTGAGTGGTGGCTGAGCAGCCAACCGTCAGGATGGCTTCTGGGCGGAGGGGCTAACTCTGACTGAGAAACAGAGCCTATGGGTGAGTCCCCAGGACCCCAGATTCTGCCCCCTTTGATCGCCTGTCTTACAAAGTCACCCTCTTCCTGCCCCATTCATTTACACCTTCAGCAAAGAAGAAAGAAATAAGAAGTTGATATTAATTAGACGTGGCTTCTTACCACCTCTGGGGAAAAGAGACAGAGTGATTCTAATGAAGCTGATATGCATCTGAGTCCTCAGATTTAAAATTGATTATGAATTTAATACGAAGCACATACACATTTTAATTCCACTCCATCTCTAAGGAAGAACTTGGGTTGCAGCTGTGTTGAAACGACCCAAAGCAGAGAACATCACTCTCAGAGACAATTATTAATAGTCCAATTATTTTACCTAATAATTAGATTCTACTCATTATAGTTTACCCTAGCCCCTTATGAGACAGTTTTAAAAAGCCTAGACCCAGAGTGAACCTGAACAGTGCTGTTGTAGGATTGCTGAAGTATTTTTAAAAGCCAGTCTTTTGTAAGCTGTCTGATATAACCTCAACACTCCCTCTAATGATGAGAAAGCCCAAGCTGATGAAACCTCAGGGGTCAGAAGCCTGGAGAGAGGGTGAGGGCGGGTGGGTACAGTCAGGTGTGGCTCGAATGACCATACAATGTATCATCCAAACTGGGACAGCTGAGAATGGAAGGCGGCACTCCTATTGATTATGCTGCGACAACACATGCAAATCAGAATCCAAGACCCTGAGAAGCTGATGTCCTCAGAACACATCTGCATTTGTGGCCAAGGGAGAAGCTCGTTTCTTGACACCATTTCCTCTTCCCCCGAGTGGTCTCAGGGCTCCCGGGAAGTGCCCTGGCACTCTGCTAAACCCTCTTCCTTACCCCCAGCTCATATCGCATCCCTTGCCCATCACCAATCCTAGGACCTGGTTACTGACGGCACTGCAGCAGGGGCAACTCACTCACCTGCAGCTCCTTCACCACGCGCTTTATGAGGAAGGTCCCCAGCTCCACCCCCTGCAGGCCTTGCTGGGTCAGACTGATGGAATAAAATATGGCGGCGGCGATTTTGTTCTTCTCCTCTGTTTCTGCCGGAGGACACTCCTTCACGATAGACTGCAAAACATGAATGATGGTGGTGAGCGGGCTTGGGTGCTCTCACATCCTGCACCTCACCTGTTCACTTCTGGCCATGCGACATCCTCTCAGGGTGTCCCCCCAAGGACCAGGCTCTGAAGACTAAACACTGCCTGAAATCTGGTCTGGTATCTCCCTGAAGGTGGCAACGGCACAACTTCCCTGGGTTTGTGCTCAATGTCACGTCATTTTGCTCTTTGAAAGTTTCGTGCAAACCTTGTTGAATAGCAATTTATGTCCTTTTTGTCCTTTTCAGGCCGCTGTGCAAACTGAAATGTGATTAATCTGCTCCCCTTCAACACCCAGAGAGAACACCAACCCTTTGTCTAGGCCACCTGCCCCTTTCTGTAAGGCCTGCTTGCTCCTCGCTTTAGTTATTTGCACTCCTTTCTTGGAACTATAGTATTTTCCATCTCTCAAGAGACCAGTGAGCCCTATATACTTTGTCTTGCAGGAAATTTACCTTTTCCATGTACCTTTTTAAAAATATATATATTTTATTGATTTCAGAGAGGAGATAGAAACATCAACGATGAGAGAATCATTGACTGGCCGCCTCCTGGACACTCCCTACTACGGACTGAGTCAGCAACCCGGGTATGTGCCCTTGACTGGAATAGAACCCAGGACCTTTCAGTCCAAAGGTCGACGCTCTACCCACTGAGCTGAACCTGCTAGGGCTATGCACCTTTTTTATTTTGTGCCCCATTCCTGTTTTTCCTTGAAGCAATATGAGATATGACTTGCCAAGTCTGATTTTATTAGCTTTGAGTTTTGACTGCGCTGTTTTTTGAACCCTAATACTCTGCAGGTCACTTGACAATAGTGGAATAGCGGTGGTTACCTTTCAGTTTGCTTTGATGAAGGCACCAGCTTGCTTCTGAACACAGTTACACTGCTCTAACTTCCGTCAGCTACATCTGATTCCTAAAGTTGGGGGTGATTGACCTAGTGCCCATGATGAGGCCTGGGAGTCCACAAACTTTCTGAAATTGTGGATGGAATGTGCAGGTTTTTGCACTATGTCCCTGGGGAAATGTCCTGAACTTTCATCCCCTTCAGATGCTCGGGAGTCTTTTCTGTGACTCCTGAAAAGGTGAGAACTGCGGCCGGAGGAAAGTGGGGTGGACAGTGAAACAGGCAGTGACACCTCCTGGGCTGAGGCCAGGCCCCTCTCCTACACCCGTGCTACAAAGGACAGACCTCACTTTCCGTCATTATTAATCTTCACCTTGGTGATTTATTTACTTTGCTTTTCAAGAATTCTGTAGGTTACCTTGTGGTTCCTTATTCAAAAATTTCTGGCAACTCCTTTTTGAAAGTTTTCAAAATAAAAGCGAATCTTTCTTTGGTTATACAAATGAGATACACATAATGTGCAAGGGGCAAAAATAAATACACAAAAAGGAATCACAAATTACTCCAAAACCTAACACCAAGTCCTGCTGTTAGCCATTTGATGAACAGAACTTTCCAGGTCTGTCTCCTTGGCTATAGGTAGGTATACACAAAACTGTGTATTCACGTAATTCTCTCACAGGCCCAGATGCTCAATTACACACACACACACACCCGGTGGCTGCCCTAAGGGCTTTGGCTAGAATCCCAATCCCACCCTTAATTATTCTGTCATCACAGGCAAATGACTAAAGTTCTCCTAAGCCTCAGTTTTCTTAGGTCTAAAATAAGGACAATCATTGATAATACTAGAAATGCCTAACTCACAGAGTGCTGTGAGCAGTAATGCATGGAGCGTGCTTCAAAGGCTGACAGACACTGAGCAAATGCTCAATCAATATTATAAATAAGATCATACTGCACACGCTATTCTGTAACCTGGTTTTTCTATGCACTAAGTTTGTCAATGTTGGCTTTCCATGTCAACAACAGAAAACGAAATCAATACCTAAATACACTCTTCTGCCCCCATGCGCCTGCAGGAATGTCCCATGCATGAGGATGTACCAGATGGATATGCCGTCATGTCTCTAACGCACCATCTTCAGGTGGACCGGTCATCATTTCCAGCCTTTCAACACTGTACAATGCCGAAACCACCTGACTCTTAGATCCGAGTATCTCCCCAGGATAAATCCCTGAGAGTGACTCTATTTTTTTTTTAAGGAAGACTGGTTGAAAGTTCATTTGAAAAGAATCCCCAGATCTCCTCCCCAATTTCCTGATGTGAGGCAACTGCCCCTCACCCAGGGAAAGACTGGAGTTTTATTCTTTTTTTTTCCTGGGGAGTTTTATTTTTTTTTAAATTAACAATTTTTTTCCATTGATTAAGGTATTACATATGTGTCCTTATCCCCCCATTGCACATTTCATATTTTAATAGATATCACCAAACTGTCCTCAGAGAGCTAGTAATAATTCTGGTGTGAGAGTATGCCAACTCTTTCAAACACAAAATCCTAAGGAACTTCTCCCTGGTGATCAAGAACACCTGCTCATTTGCCTGCTCGATTTCTCTACCTTCTGATACTAGAACTGCCACCCAGAGGGCCCATCCAGTGACCTGGTATCATCTCTTCAGCTTCCGAAAAGGCCATTTCCATGCCAAAGCCTTTGCCCACCACAGCCTCCTGTGATCAGGTGTCCCGCTGTGATCCAGGTGTCCCTACCTCCCCTCCCCTGTCTTTACTTCGTCGAGATCTGCTCGATTCCCAGTCCCTGCACTGGTTCTTCTGCCCCCATGCGTCTGCAGGAATGTCTCAGACATTCTCGCCCACTCCTTAAGGAGAAGCCAAGCTTGCTGCAGGCAGGGCCTGTCAAACATGGCCCCCATCACCTCCATTTGATGAACAGACCTGGCAGAGTTCTAGGCCTGTATCAGGCACACAGCACTGTGTCTCTTTTTTAATCACATGTTGTTTAAAACTACCCACAGGCACTTAACAAATGCTGAAAAGATGAACCATGCCCCCTTCCTTCTATTCTGCCCTCACAACTCTTTTCTGCCCCACAAAGATGTTCTGTAATAGACTTCAACCCAGTCTCAACTCCAAGTCAGTAGACCCAGATGAATGCTCTCCTCATTTCAAAACTGTCTACATACTACCCGTCTACATTCTGTAGCTATAAATTAGAGGTTTTATTTAGCAATTCAAAAATCCACAAAAGCCTAAAGCTTCTGAAAAAGGGCATAAAACCAAGTTTAAAAAAGGCAAGGGCTCCATAGGATGCCTGCCTTGCCCTGAATTTACGTCCGCAGGTACCTGAATGTTGCTGGAGATGATTTCAGAACTTTCTACATACTACCCATCTACATTCTGTAGCTATAAATTAGAGGTTTTATTTAGCAATTCAAAAATCCACAAAAGCCTAAAGCTTCTGAAAAAGGGCATAAAACCAAGTTTAAAAAAGGCAAGGGCTCCGTAGGATGCCTGCCTTGTCCTGAATTTACGTCCGCAGGTACCTGAATGTTGCTGGAGATGTCACTGGTTAGCGCCACATGCAAGACCACCAGGGGCTCCTCGGGGGTGGAACAGTGAGAAAAGAAGTAACATCTTCTGTATGGTCCGACACGTTGTTTTATATCCATCCAATTCTTTACAGGGTGCACAGCCTCAGACCTGATAAGATTGTAACGAGGTAAGACAAATGTTCAATTACAAGTTAAATAACCATTGCTGATTCTGATTCATATTACTCACTAAAGTCAAATAAATCCTTAAATACAGCTTCAATAGTCTCTTCAGGAAAATTTAAAGAAAATCATTTTAATGTGAAACAGCAGACTAAAAGGAACTACAATTAATGACTACTTTACACACAAAACTGTGCTCTAATTTTTAATACCCGGTGTGAAGACTAGTTTGCGAGGCCCTTGGGAAGCAGTTATGCAGCAGATTGTAACGCAGAAACTAACCAGATGCTTAGGCGTTGAACATTCTATGTCTTTTATTTCCTTTGAATCTGCAGTTTGAAGTCAATGTTGCAAACACAGGTCTCTTGGTTCCCTTTGACTAGCAACCTCAGCCACCCACTGTTCTGTCTTCAACATGTGCAATGGCAACACTGTCTCGAGTCGGTTACACCTCAAATAGTACATTTTCCAAACCTTAGATCATGTAAGGCAGCACGAAGTGTGAAGATCCTGAGGTGGAAGAGCTGCCCATTTGTGAGAATAATCGTAACATATTAGGCTGCATTTTACTGTGTCTTTGACATGTTGGAATTATGTTCAATATTGTTAATTTAGAGGTTTTTATCCCGGGGAGAAATTTTAACGATGAGATAGATGCTGTTTAGTTTAATGCAAATACTCGGTCCAGTGAATTCATACAGCTCTGATAATGGGATCTGGAGAAAAGGGGGTCTGTGTGCTTTAAATATGAGGACATAAATGAGACCCAGCATGTCACCTGCGGGGACAGCCACATTGTGTTTGGGTTTTATAGGGTTGGAACAAAATATACATGTGAATGGAGACTGGCTTTCAGCTAAGATAAAGAAACGTGACAAGCTGAGTACTTACTCACTGATTTTCTGAAGCACTTCACATGGCGAATGCCAGGTCACCCGTTCGAGGTTTAGGAATCCCGAAGAAAACCACTCCGTGAGCATGCCTTTCAGCACACCATTCATTTCCTGAAAAGAAGGGAAAGTGTCAGCTTTCCCAAGCCCATCTCTGCACTGTCACCAGCACAGTGAACTAAAACACGAAACACAAGCTCAAAGGAGACTGCAAGATGCTTCTTTCTCTAAATGGCCTTTTCTGAGACAGCACTACTGCCCTCTGACCTCAACCAAGTTACACCGAATGCAGCGCTTCACTTCAATCTGTAAGATATCTGAATGTGAGCAGTCAACTTGAATAACTTTCCCAAATCAGGTAATATGCTCCAGTTGATTCCATCGTGAACACAACTACAGCCACTTAGCGGAACAGTGAGTGGTATACCCGTAAGGGAGGCACTAACGCAGGCAGCACTGAGCTCCAGTCCCATGCCCTCAGGAAGTTTCTGATAAGCCAAAGCATCATTCCTCATTTCCTAGGAGAAGCAGGCACTGGGTCCATTACCATATTTCATCAATTCTAAGATGCGCATTTTCATACTTTAACATCTCTGAGGTCAGGATGCATCTTTCAAAAGAGGGCAGGGCAAAATTTAACTGACAGTATTTCCCCCCCTTAATGGGACATAAAATATTGTATCTGACAATCAATGCATTCAGATTTGATGAAATTATTCTAATTTTACTTCACTTACTTATATCCAATCTATTTCTGAAAACTGAGTCAACTTTACTACTGAAGATAATTCTCACTGAAACCTCCCAAGCAAGATTGGAACAAGAGGTGCGTAAGGAAAGGACAGAAGCAGACCCAGGTCAGATTAGCCTGCTGTGACCACACTGAACCTGTAACGGCAGGACGCTTTCTATAGCCAGAGTGGTGGGGGAGGGGGTAAAACCAACTGGGGGAGACAGAGTCAGACTCAAACTGAACTTAAAGAGCTTTTGAATAGCTTGGGCTGTCCACAGATGTCCTCCTAGGAGTATGAATCTCCCCACGGAAGTGACCAAGCACAGGGTCAACAATGTGATGGAGCTGTTTTAAAAAGGATTTAAGCGCCCTGGTTGGGTGGCTCAATTGGTTGGAGTGTCATCCCATACACCAAAGGTTGAAGGTTCAATCCCAGGTCAGGGTGCATATAGGAAGCAACCAATTAATGTTTCTCTCTCTCTCTCTAAAAATCAAGAAACATATCCTCAGGTGAGAATTAAAAAAAAAAAAAAAAAAAAAAAAAAAAAAAAAGCATTTAGCCCAGCCGGCATGGCTTAGTAGTTGAGCACTGACCTATGAAGCAGGAGGTCATGGTTCAACTCCTGGTTGGGGCATATGCCTGGTTTTTGGGCTTGATCCCCGGTGTGGGGTGCGGCAGGAGGCAGCCAATCAATGATTTTCTCTCATCATTGATGTTTCTATTTCTCTCTCTCCCTTCCTCTCTGAAATTAAATATAAATATTTTAAAAAAGAATGTAAGCATCTGATAGGCAGTTGGACCAGATTACCTTTGCAATTCCTTTTAACTATTGATTAATTCCACAATCTAGTCTCCATTACTTGGCTCCAAGCTCTGAAAAGGCACAGATCATTTCCAATTCATTCCTCTAGTTTCCAAAGCATTCAGTGGGGCCGCCCATGTGGAAGATGGCTAACAGATTGATATCAAATGAAAAAGAGAAGAAAAGATGGAGAATTGGGGATTAAGAAGTAGAAGGAAGGGAAGATATGAGATGTCATTTGCCAGGCAATACAGAATGGCTCCTTATGAAACTGTATTTACTGCATTTGGCTTCAATGGTTTTTAATCTTCCTGGGTCCTCACATCCCCTTACACATGTGATAAAGACCAGAACCCCTTCTCCAGAAAAATGCACACACATTAATTAAATTTTGCGTACAATTTCCTGGGGTTCATAGACCTTTAGAAAGGCAACTATGGATCATCCCCAGGGGTTCATGGACCCCAGGTTAGGAACTCTGCACTAAATGGTTAGAAATGGATTGATTCAGTTCCATGTAAAATGTTTTTACATCTCTATTACATTCATAATAGAAAAAGCTGGATTTAGTTTCAGTATTAATTCAGAAATAATTATTAAAGAAATTTGGCTGATGAAAGCTCCTCGTCTAAAAGTCTCTTCATTCTATTTTGGGCTATTGACAGCTATAAAATGTGACACTAGTCACAAGAACCGGGAATCTGGGTTAAAGGTTACATGTCTCCACTTAGTTCTGACAGTGCAAGAAGCTGTTCAGGCTGGGATGAGCCACCCCTGCAGCAAGGCTACCGATCACAGAAAAAGCAGGAGGGAAAGAAAACACTGCTGCAGAAATCTGCTCATTCATCCTGCAATCCTGTATCCACAATCCAAGACTGAGAAATACAGCTCCCGGGACCACTGTGGCGATGCCAGTCAGCGTTAGGTCTGCCCAATTCTACTTATCCCGGGTGACTGTTCAGAAGGCCAGCCAACTCTTTCAGCAGAGAAAAAGCTGTCTCCCAACTGCCCTCTGAAGTCTTTGGCTATAAAGGTCTCATTTTTGATGTGAAGAAGAGTTACTTTTCATTGCTCAGAAGCCCTGAGGGAAGGGAGCTGAAAGCTATGGGGAAGGGTCATAGTGCTGAAGTTAAAACATTTTAGGTACAATTCCAACTCATGCAGCTGCTACACTCCAGGTGGCTGGGGCCCACTTTCCTACCTACAAATAAGGCTTTTTAAAGCCTAGCTAAGCACAGAATTTAATAGAACCAACAAGGACCACTATACTAACTTAAAGCAGGATAAGCCACCAAAAAAGTTGGTATGACAGTGCCTACCAGGGCTGGGCATTGCAATGGTGAGGATGCTCAGCTTGTCTGACACACGTTTAGTCCTTCCCTTATGTTCCACCTAGGCACACCTCTCATTTCACCATAGTTTCTATGTTGAAATCACCCATCAATAAACCCTTTCATTTTCTAAATGCCAACCTTCCTCTAGTGCCCACAGATTGCTGAACAGCACTCAGACCTTCTGCTATAATGGGGTTTGGTTCAGTTTCATTGGGGATTTAATCTCAGAAATCTAACTCTTCAACCCAAATGGGCCTTTGGGAATGTTCCTGGGGAAAAACAAAAAGCCTAGAAATCCAACACAGAAACCACATAGAACCCTCCCCTCCACATAACCCTTCCCCACCATGTTAACACACACACACACCCCCCTTCAAGCAGGGCTGGGCACACACCTACAAATTCACAGGGCGTTTTGTTCAGAAGGCATCCATGTATCGGATCTGCTATGTCAGAAAACAACACAGATCTTTGACTTTGCCAGTTTGTAAAAACTTTCTTCAACGTAGCACTTGTATCTTCTCAGCAGAGACTTGACACTTACTCTGAACTTCTTATCAAAAAGGATGAAGATCCTCGTGGGAGAGAAAAGAAACCTGTCTGACTTAAACTGTCCAAGGAGAGACAGACCCACGTGGCCTCATGTCTTTAATATTCATCCTGGGTACACTCGAAATGCAAGTGTCAGTCTTCTGGATTCTTCCCACATTTCCAATAATCACAACCCTTGGTCAGAGCAGAGGTCTTAACAAACCTGCCCTCATTTGTAAACTGTATTTTTAGCAAAGCTCCACCATATCCCTCAGGGCACTGCTTAGGAGAGAAGCAGGCTGACCTTGAGCATACCAACCACCAGCTGAATTTCTCACCTCAGTGCAGAACCAGCGGCCCAAGGAGCTAAGTGGCTTGGCTAAAGGCACATCAAATGGTGCCTCTAACCAGTGGATGGCAAAGACAGGATTGGGAGCCTGCCTCTTGTCTGCCCACCCAGTGCTTCTCCCACTATACTGTCTGACCTAAGACAGAGAATCAGCACCCTGCCTGGCCTCACACTGCTAGTTGTTCTAGAGACTCCAGTAAACGAGGACCCATGCCAGCCACACAGTGGACCAATCCATTCCAGGGTAAATGCTCAGGGTAAATCCATTCCAGGGTAAAAGCCCACACGTGTTCACTTGACTTGACTTAGCAAGTCCTAAGGTCAGAAGGGGCCAGGCAGGTAGCATACCTGTGCGATAGGGTGTCTGCTGTGTGCACACAGGAAGGGGGGCTGACATGGGGAGCAACTGTGGAGGAGTTCCGCACTCTCCAGTGTCACAGGCCCCTGGGGGTCTGGGACTCCTGCCCTACAGCACCGCCTGCCAATCATCTGGTGGTTTCTAACACTGAGTCCCTAAAAGCAAGAAGGTCTAGCTCTATCCCTTCTTTAACTTGAACACAAAATCCAGAATGAGACAGAAGGGAATCAAGATGGACACTAAGTGACTCTGGTGATAGATTACAATTTCAGATCCCAGATGACAATTTTTATAGATTAAAAAAATCTGAATGATTTCAATGATAGAAATTTAAAAATTTTTGTATGTAATTATGTAGAGCAAAGAAGGAAATCACCAGGTTTAGCCACTAACAGACATACTAGATATAAGGACAGGATATTCAGGTAGAGAAATGGCAGAGGCATGATAAAAACTAGAAAAGGTTTCTGCACCCAATGTGTCCACCATGTGCAGAGGCAAAGGTCAGGCTATCATTATTTATCCTTTGTTCAAGAAATATCTTTGTGCCCAGCTGGTGTGGTCCAGTGGTCAGAGCACATGCCCGGGTTGTGGGCTTGATCCCGTGTGGAGCGTGCAGGAGGCAGCCCATCAACGATTCTCTCATCATTGATGTTTCTATCTCCCTCTCTGAAATCAGTAGAAATATGTATATATTTTTAAAAAATATAGTTTTGCTGTAGGTACACATTTCCCCCTCACCTGCGTGGACAGCTTGGTTAAATAAATAAAGGAAGCCTGAACATCTGAGGACCTGGTGCTCAAAGCCCTGGATTTCCCTGGGCAATCTCCTCTCTTCCAAATCAAGTCTCCACGTCACAGCTTTCAGCTGCCACAATGTTCCTTCTCCACTGCAGGGTAACTAAGCATTTTCCCATGTGGGCAAGAGCAACGGGACGCATTGAGTAATGTGTCAGAGAATCAGAGGATTAGAACGGGATGAGGCATTAGAAACCTCCCAGGGCCAACACACGCTGAAATCTGCCAAGGGCAGCCTGAATGTCTGATGTCTCTCTCCGCTGTGCAGAAACCCTCCCAAGCCTTCCGGGCTTCCTTCCAGGAGCAGAACCCTGTGAGTGGAGCAATCTGACATCAAGACAAATGGCAATGATTAGTGTGCTGACTTTGTCTTACGGCGGGGCACCCAGGAGTCTATCTCAATGCTTCATTCATCATTTTGCTATGCAAGAAGTTTAAGACAAGGTTTCCAGTTTTCAAGGAGCTGATCATCTAGTTGGGAGCAGAGGAAGTAACACATTTCCAACACTAAATTCTGTGGTTGATATATACCATCCAAGTGAGGGGTGCAATAATGTCAGGAAGCTTAATACTGGGTGAGACCACTTTGAGCTGGAGTGGCTAGAAAAGCTGAGTGAATGAGCTATGGGTGGAGGCAGCTCGTATGCTACCAGGCCTCCCAAGCAGGAATCGCACAGGGATGTGGGTTCAGGAACCTTCCATCCAAGAATCAGCATGGCTGGAGAGGAGAGAGTAATGGAGCATCAAGATGGAAACGTTGTCCAGGATGGTTTGTTGTGCATCATAAATGCCAAAGGAAAGACACCAAATGCGATCCTTCTGGGATGTGAAGCTCGATGACTTTTCAACAATGGAATAAAGGCTGACTCTGGTTTGAGAGAAAGATGGGCACTGGGATTGCTGCTAAGACAGACGCTTGCACCAAGTATTAGGAGGAGTAAATACAGTCACAACTAGAGAACCCTGAAGCCCTGATCAGTGAAATTCAACAAAGCTACCAATGAACTGATTGTTTTACCTGCCCTCCACTTTAGAGAAACGGGCAAACTCTGAGAGAACAAACCCATTTTAGATCCAGTTAAAAATGGTCAACTCCAAGAGTCACTGTGTCGTGATGAAGTACACAACTGTGGAGCCACTGAGACTGGCTCTCACCAGCTCTGTACTCCGGGCACTGCACCTGGCCTCACCTATGACACAGTTCCCCACGGCTTGTTGAGGAGGAAATGAGCAAATGTGTGAAAAGCACCCTTCCCGTTCTAGGACAGAAACTCCTGAACCAGGTGACCTGGGAGTCTGGAGCAAGCCTCACACAAGATAAATATTAGACAGCCACATGTCCAAGGGTGGATGGACGATTTCATTCTGAGACAGGTGACATTCTACCTAAGTCTCCAGACTCCTGTGCAGTAAGAATCAAGTTCCAGTAGGCACCCGGACTCTAGACCGCGGGGACCTCAGGTTCTAGTCATCTCTGTGTATTTCACAGGACTTCTTAGGACAACGGCTTACACATAATGGGTTGCACAATCAACTGTGCTGACACAATCCAGGTTTTTAGAAAGGCTTTTTGGTGCTCAGTTGGGTGCCCGTTCCAAGTGTAACACACAGATGAAACCTCTCAGCTACAACAATAAGTCTTTGTGAAGCATACTAATCATGAAGGAGGCATGCCAGTCTCTTAAAACTAGGCGATGGCCTTATCTAACAAGCTGTGCACAGTAAGGACTGGAGCCAGACATGACTAGAGGGCTAAGATTCAGAAAGCCTGGGAAGGGAAGGGATGGGGTTTGGGGACTCATCATGGGGTGTGCAAGACTCCAGGCAGTGGAAGCGCAGTATCTGGGGCTGGAGGAGCAGTGAGGACTACAGAGGGGCTGCCACGGGCCCACGGACCTGGATGCAAAGGAGGGCGCGACCCGGGCTGTCCCCGGTGCCAGGGGGTCGGGGCGGCCCTGGCGGGGC